TAATCGTGGCAGCCCTACTGAGAAGCTAACATGACTCTCAAAGCAGCTACATCAGCTGCTATTTAATAGATTTAAGTTTTTACTTACCAGTATTTCAACTTGACTTTGCTCAGGTCATACACTTCAATCACCTATCACGCAGAAAGTCAGAAACATCAGCGCATGAATGCCAGGAGTGTTTGAGGAGACTGTTGGAGCTCTGCTAATTATCTTAAATTCTTACCTTGAGTCTCTGATTTGTGGCATCAAACAGCAGTTTAATCCCATCCTGAGTCAAGTTCAGTATGAGGTCATGGCTGAGAGGTGTCTACAGAGGCAGGGAGTTAAAACCGATAAATTACCATTAAGGGGCAGGAGCAGATGCTGTCACGCAAACCTGAGAAACAACCACCTCGATTTATTTTTGACATGATTTTAAAAAGTTAATACTGGCTGATTATTAGAAGATTTGTGCAGATGAGTGAAAACAAAACAACATTAACAATACATAAGATAACAGAGGTGGGAATTATCAGACATCCCACGATACAATATTATTGTCATTGTGGTTTATCACATTTCTTCACCTGCACAGCATGTCCTCAGAGTTAAAACAGATATTGACATGGTTTAATAGGTAAAAATAAAGTTATCTCACCTATTTTTCTTTTAATTTTAATTCGTTATTGCACTTCCACTCAGCAACCTTCCCGTTCTACAGGAATATCACCAGAATACAACAAGCTGGCAGCCAGTTGAGTCAATCTGTCAAGTCAGTTTGTGCTCACTGACAAAGACTGATGGCAACGTGAGCATCTGTCTGCATTTATAAATTAGACAGCAATTATTTGTTCCAACAGTCTCTGAGAGTGACTGGAGTCAGTCCAACTGTAAATGTTTGCAGAAAGGATGCCCCCTATCAGGCAACCTGTGCTTTGCAATCGAAAGTTGATATGAGTGTGCAACATCCCCAAGCTCTGAGCAACTACTTATTCACCACAAATTGTAATCTGTTGCAAAATGAATATATACATTTACATTTTGCAACAGATTACAATTTGTCGTGATTAAGAGCTTGGGGGTGTTGGTTTTTTTAAATAAATGGGAGAAACAAGCTTCTCGTACTATTGTGACAAAGACAATAGCAGATAGAAATTTGAGCTTTTCAGCACTCTATGGTGAACAAACGACCTACTGACAACAACGTTTCGACATTTTATTCAACAAACAGATTGTTAAGCATTTGTTTATCATCAACTGATGAACTTATAAATATGTCTTTATCTGTGTTACAGTGGTCTACAGTAATTTCATTGAAAAATAATTAGAAACCAATTGGATTTACTTCCACTGCACGGGAACGCATGAACAACTTGAATTGCTGCCCAGAACTCTTCTGCAACCTGATTATGACTGTTTGTGGATTGTGAGCAAGCACAAGTTTATATTTAAACAACAGATATTTGTGCGTCTTACCTGTTCACTGTATAGCACCTGGACATTTTTGATGATGCGGCAGTGTTTCTGAAGGATAGAGATGGCCTGGGAAAATGGCATCCCTGAACACCCACACAGTGAACGCAAGACACACAATTTGTTATTGAGTCTAAACAAGTGCATATGTAAGGTAGTTGAAAAGTAAATTTTCAATTCACTGAAGATGTTTAATGCTCACCTAAGGCGAATTCCCATTGCTCATTTCCTAGTGATCTCTCAGGCACCACTTCCAGATCCAGCATTGGCAAGTAGTGGGGGGCAGCTCACCTCACCTCAAGACACGATGGGATCCTGTGAGGGACCCTCTCTCTCTCTCGCTGCTGAACACAGTACTTTCCCACAGGATTTCTGACGGCTACTTTAAATCATAACTCTTATTATTTCTCCAAAGCTATCAAATTCATGAGAATCAGAACAGCCACTCAGTCTGCGCGTTACTGTAAACGTGTCCTTTTTTATCTCATGTCATACGTCCTTGACATTAAAATGGTACCAAAGAACAGAAAATAAACGGGCCTTAAAATCACATACAAAACACACAAACTTTCCTAAAACGCACAAGTTTTAACTTGGAATTTAACAAGTTGCCCAACATTGGCTGCCAGCTTGAACATAAATTACGCAACGTTTAGCAAACCTAAAACGGACAAGGCCAGCTGTCAACTAGCTGACTGCTTGTTTGTGTGTTTTTAAATAAATCGATGAGGATTAAAAAACTAATCCACTGAGTTTAATCAGAAACAGCCACAAATGTCTCAAACAGGCTTCGATTCAGTAACTAAACGTGAACTTCTGTGGTGCCGTGTTTCCTAACAGAGCACCGGATCCAGTGGCAGACAGGTTAAAACACAACAAACTAATACGGAGGCACGAAAATAGCGCTTTCAAACTCAGCTGTTTCCGCCCGTTATGTTTATCATCGGTCACAGTTGGGCGGTTACGAAAGCATCAAATCTTGTCAACAAGACTGTTTTTCTTCGCGCTACGAGCTAACATTAGCGGACGAGCTAGCTGCCCTGTTGGCTTATTTTCAATCAAGTATAAATATAAATAACGTAAAAAACTCTCAAAGTCAAGACAGAAATGATGAATATCACGGTTCAAACTGACACGACATGAACAAAAGACAGCACGCCGAGCCGTCGGCTGTCTCTGCTGTTTTTCTTTTTTCGTTTCAGCGAAGCTTTAAGCTCGAGCGCTAGCTCTTCGTCGCTCGTGCGCAAATTCCCAAGTACTCGCGCGGAAACGCTTTCCGTGTCACTCATAAGCTCGTCGGCCGGTAAATGCCCACCGTGTCCCTTTCTGCGCTTTAACGTGTCTTCAATGTCAGGACCTGATAAGAGCGACACGGCGTCCAAACGCCAGCAACTTCAGGCATCAACAACAGCCAGTAGGATCAGCTGATAATTCAACTTCCTGTCTTCGGCGCACATTCGAGGTCGACGTCATGACGTCATGGTCAGGTGACACCTAGAGACGTTTTAAGTTCTCTTATCCTGCAATTTTTTCAAAAGTTAGTGATGGTAAATTTGATTCTTTTTTACTGAATCGAATTTGAATGAGTCACTCACCAAAGTGAATCGGGGTTTCTTGAGTCATTTGAGTCACTGAGTCAGTTGACCAGAGAGTGCAAACAATGTACATTTTCACTCAAACTTAATTTGTTTCTCTTTTCATGTAAATCCTACTGCTAAGATGAGTGATTGAAAAAGAAAAACAACTATTTTTATAGAGCAAAAAAGAGCAAAAAAAGGATTTCTAAAGGGAACATTGGTTTTATTTTTTTATTAGTTTTTTCCTCAAATGTGTCAAATATATATTTTCTCATCTAAATGTCCGCTGAGCTGTGAGCCAGGGGGCGGTAATGCTCCTTGACATTGGCTGCCAACCAAGAGGAAGAAGAAGAAGAAGAAGCTGTGAGCCAGGAGGGAGGGGGTGAGTGAGTGAGTGATTCGTTCATGCTACGATTCAGCACAGGATGGGAGGGGGTGAGTGAGTGAGTGATTCGTTCATGCTACGATTCAGCACAGAACAGGAGTAACTCAGATGTGCTGTTAGCATGTTAGCAGAGCGATGCTAGTGTGAACTGAGGAGCTATTGTCTTGATGTGAGCTTTCTACTCAGGGTTTTTTCTTCCAGTTCAGAGCAGAAATGTTTTTGTTAAGAAACTGGCTGTTGTTTTTTCCACACAATTTTAATTATAACCTAGGTATGTTTCTGCTAATGAAATTAGTTTGCTAACAGCAACAGGGATGAGTCAGTGAGTCAGTTGGGCTTGTGAATCATGATTCACGGGTCAGTAAAGTGATTCTTGAGTATTGAACGATTCGTTCATGATTCGTGCATCACTATCAAAAGTGGATAAAAGCACAAACATTTGTTTGTTTGTCCCTCCGGAGCTGTGAATGTTTTTTTTTTTTTAAATCCTATCAGCCACTTGAATTTAAACAATTTTCATATTTTTAAAATATACCAGAACTAAACTAAGCAACATTTAACACTCTTCTGACGCTCATGTTCCCTGTAGATGCTACATTTGAAGGCTAGTGGTCTACTCAGAACAAAGAGGAAATAAAGTTGGTGCAGGTTTTCATCCAGCTTCTTCTTTATTTTCAAGGAGTAAAACCCTGAAAATGAATGCATACTGTGCCTTTATGAGACAGTCATGTGCAAAATTATTACCGTTTTTAGAAACTGACCAACTCTAACTTCAAACTTTCCTAAATGCTTTAACTGGTCAGCAAAGTGTAGCCATGTCAGTTTTCAGAATCAGAATCAGTATACTTTATTAATCATAAATTACATTTATTTAATCATATTATAATAATAAGATGATTTGACTTAACCTCCTAGGACCTGGCGTTCACATATGTAGACATCACATTTTGGGTTATTTAGACCAAAATACTCAATTTTGCTCTACAAGGGCCTGATATCCGCTTACAAAGACATTATATTGCTACTGTTCTATCGAAATTTTAAACGAATATCCTCATATGTGGCTCTTTTTTTTTCTTGGAAACAAAAATTAGGTTAAAAGAAAATTATGATAATTCTTTGTTTTTACATTCATCAGGTCCCAATATGCCCAAATATCAAAGAGAAATTAAAAATGCTGCTGTGGAAGAGTTCAGGTCTTAGGAGGTTAAAGCTCTTTATTTTTAAAATAATTTTATACCTCCCCTCCGTGGATTGCAAACGTATTGTGATGGAGGAGTTTGTGTGTCCCAGGGATCCTAGGGGCTATGTTGCCAGGAGCAAAAGCCACAGATAGGCTTTCCCAAGGCTGTGGTTGAGTGGGAAGATGAAGAGCGATTCAAAAACCCCTGTGGGGCGAGGCACTTCAACAGTCATGTGGGCAGCAAGAGAGAGCTGGGGAAACGGGAACGGGAGAAATGGTGTCAAACTGAAGAGAGGAGCCAAACTTTCAACTGATCACAGCCTGATGATGAGTGGTCCAAAAAGCTTCCATTGTGGTGGTCTCAGAATATAATCGCTGCTTTTTGTAGATGATGTGGCTTTGTCATGTGAAAGCCTCCACTTCACACCAGAGGATTCACAGCCAAGTGTGAAGCATCAGGACTGAGAATTAGCACCCCTAGGTCTGAGGCCATGGTTCTCAGCTGGAAAAGGGCAGAATGCCCCAAGTGGAGGGATCTCGTTCACAAATGAGGTGAGGGGCAGCGGGAAATTGGCAGATGGATTGGGACCCTGCGGTGCCAGTTTACCAATTGATCCATGTTTCTAGTCTCATCTATGGTTATAGAATTTGGGTAGTGATTAAAAGAATGAAAAATTAGCTTTTTTTTAAAGTGTTGCTGATCTCTCCCTTAGAGACAGGGTGAGTAGTTTATAGCCTTTTTCCATTAGTACTTACTCAGGTTGGCTCGGCACGGCTCGACATGGTTTTTAGGATTTTCCATTAGGTGACAGTACCTGGTACCAGTTACTTCTTTAGTACCTACTTGACTGGTTTTCCAAGTGAACTGAAAATGCTGAGTACATTCATGTAGTTGTAAACAGCATGATAATATATTAAGTAATCCAAAGCTGAATGAATGTATGTAAACACATTTACATGAGGGCAAACAGATTTCAAGGAAATAAAAATGCTCAAATTTGAAAGCTTGTGAGTTACTTTGTTCATGTATCAGCTGTTTAGTTGTTTTATGACGAGATGGATTCTGTTGTTTTATCTTAGTATAGTTTTTGAGTATCTAACATTAATTGTACCAATGTTGTTGTGTACTAAGCACAGATTAATTTAAAAAGTTTACATTTATGAATTTTTGAGCACATGGTGCACTTGGTTGTAATTGCATAAAAATGTACGTGTAAGGATATAAAAAAACATATTTAATGAGTTACACTGAAAAGAAGTGCTATGAAACAGTAATATAA